TTGTTAATCCATATGGTCTCTGCAGTGAGAGATGCAGCTGTTTCTCCATGGTCCCTTGATAGTGGAGGCCTCAATCACCACAACAAACATTCAAAGGATCACACAGGGTTTGCTTTCTGATTTTCTAGGTGGAAGTTCAGAATCATGCCTTTTGCCTATTTGAAACACTAAAGTTTTTGCAGGTTAAACTACTTTGAGATGTTGCCCAAGTGACAGAGGCACTTTGTAAGTGCAAGTTTTTTAACATCTTGTGCTATCCGACCCATGTTCTTGATAAGTTTGTAAACTGTTGTGTGCACTCAAACCTGCAGTTGCTCAGAAGAATTATAAATGATTGTGCACTCCGATTCCTTTGTTAGAATAAATCTCAAATGAATTTTACGTACAAATCAGCACTGAAGAAATAAAAGTAAATGCATAGAAATGCCAGATATCTATGTAGAGATACACAAAGGGATCTTAGTTTTCTATGATTGGGCTTCCAATCATTCAGTTGGTGCAAGTAATTAATTGTCACATAAGTTATATCTGATCAGAGACATTGTTAAATGTATATAAAATATATGAGAAATATAGTGCATCAAAATGACCATCAGCAATCACACAGAGCAAACGTGTATTTTATCTGAGCCTCTGGAAGATCATAGGTAATGGGAAGCTCAGTGCAAATGGGTACACAGGAATGGAGTAATTGGAGTTGAGGTACAGGTCAACCATGATCTAATAGAATAGCATAACAGGTTTGAGGGGCCTACCCCTGTTCCTGTGTAAGGTTAAAAGGAGGCAACAGGCTTGCAGTTAAAAGTGCAAAAGCGATGGATGTGAATCTTTCCCACTTTGTTCACCCTAATGAAAAACAAAAGGTTCCTCTGAATTAGCCAGTTGTTTCACATACACAGGCTGAATAGCCTATTTATGTTTCTAATTATGAATCAAACCTTAATACTTAATGTTAATCCATTGTACAGTGGAAATTATGTGACTAATTATGTAATACAATCTGTCAATTGCTTTTGAAGTCTTATCTTATAACATGAAAAATAATGGATGAGGCCCACAACAAAAGCTCTTTACCAGACCCAGGAGAGCAGTGTATCCGACCCATGAGAGCAATATAACTGTGTCAGGCCCATGAGAGCAGTAACTGTGTACAAGACCCACGAGAGTGCTTTAACTTTATGAATCGGACCCATGAGAGCAGTATAACTGTGTCAGACCCATGACAGCAGTTGACACTTAATAGGCTATAGTTCTGAAAGATGGTTACTAACACAAAAAGTACATTCCAATAAATACGACACTAAGAAAATTGTACAAAGCATTTATTTTAAAGTGTTTAGTTATGATATTTGTGACTGAAAGACAAAATCCAAAGGGAATGGTTTTCTATGCTACTCTCCATTGTCCATCTCATCATTGTCCCCCGAGGATTAAAATTCCACGTAATCTTTGCCTGGAAAACAATTTATCTCAAAATTTAAGATTGTGTCGACTTGTGAAAAACTCTTGGATTCAATTTATTTGGAAGCCAATTTTCCACAATTTATAAAAAGAACTGGCTTCAAAATTAGAACTTAATTTAAGACATTTTCAACTTAATTTAATATTATTCCATCTTAAATTTTAGGAGAAGATAGTCTTGCAGGTTAAGTGAACTCTCAGGCCACTGAAGCTTTAATCTTTGGTCTGGTTCCATCGGTTTTGTCGATGGCTCTTGACTGATCTCTCAGTCAGTAGTTGTGGCAATCTGTGAGTGAAAACAGTGAAAAGATCACAGGGGCCTGGTCCCCCTCACATAGAGTGTGGGGAAGGGGTTTGACCAGGTGCACCTCTGAAGAAACAAACAAAAAGGTGAAATATAAATGAAGAGGAAGAAGCAGACGAACAGAAAAGAAAGCTGGAGGGCAAAGAATCAAAAGAAGTCAAGTATTTATGAAACTAATATCTCCCCAAATTTGGTGATTGAGCTTCTTTAGCCATTTTATTCCACTATTACAGATGACGTGTTTACTCCTGAATTTTTAAAAACTGGAATATTTTGATAGCCTGTAGTTTGTGCTCCCCCCCCCCCCCCCCATCACATGTGCGCACACACGCAGTGCTTTGCAGCCTTCTGTCCCATGTTCCCACTGAAGGAAGTAGCTTCAGCTGTTCACAGCAGAATACTTGTCTTGAATTGTTTTACAACTGTCTTTGGCGGCTTCCATTCATTCCCCTGACTTTCATTCAGGCACAGTCAATGGAGGCATTCCGATAATTTGGCAGTTTGTACGTGCAAATGCTGTTCTTGTACCATCTCAAACTTGAAGGAGAATCAGTCTACATGTGCGGATTATCAAACTTTGAAGTCTCTGAGCTGCTAGGGCTTGAGATCAGGCCATAGTGCGCAGGAACCAAGCCTGAACTGTGTCTGACACTGGCAGCTTATGCTGAGCTCTCCTCATCTGTTTTTATGGCTATACGTGTGGAGCTGCAGTTGCCAAAGAAAGCAAACTAAAATGAATCACAGAGTAATAAATCAAACACCCCTATTTCCTTGAAAAATACCTCCTGAATTAAAATATTTTGATGGAAAAGTTTGTAGAGGATAATACAGTATTGCAAAAATGTGTCCACAGATACCTGTTGTCACACTGGGGCGGGGGATGTGGAATGGGCTAGACTGAGTGAGCAGGAGTTGAGATTCATCAATTGAATAATTTTATTAAAAAGAAATTCCATTGTATTTATAAAAATGAAGAGTTATTCAGTCTCATAAAGGATGCTATAACTTGCTGCTTTCAGAGAACACTGTATATCCTACACCCACAAAAGTGGGTTTCTTTAAATTCCGATGCTCAATTAATTGTTACGAAACTGGAGAAATTCTGCCAAGCTTTTTTTTAAAAAACTGACTACACATACATAATTTTCTTTTAATATTGATCAAAACATGCTAATTCCGTTCTTAGGATTGTTTTTTATTTTCGTCAGCAAGATGTCTGACACGTGCTGAAACCCATCATCGTGCTTAAAAGTATCCAAACCAGACAGATTTCTATACATAGCCCTGCACATGCAAATGTCTGTGTCTATCATGGAATACACACACTCTTCCCAGAAGGCTGGGCTCTGCTTACTTAATTCTGGTGAATATTAGGTTCAAGGTGGCTAGAGCCAAGGCTTGGGAACCCGCGAGTAAGTGTTGGGGTATTGCTGAACTCTGACTACCTAAAATTGTTTGCTATTGAAAGCACTGTCTGGCAAGCTTCCCACTGCTTGTCCAGGTCAGGACTGACAAAGATTTAGACCAGCAAGCTCCTGTCCTTGAACTGCAGCTCTATCCTCTCCACTGTTGAGGCTGCCCTTCTCAGGATTCATGCAATCAGTGAAGTAATTTAGCTGACTCTGTGAATATTTTTTGAATTTGTCAGAACGTCTGTATAGAATACTTTCTTTGACATAAAAGAAACTGCTTGATTTTCTCCCCATTTTCTGCTCTTCTTGAGATGTTGTCCAGCTACAAGGTCGAGATTGTTTGGTCTCTATGTTCCTGTAGTTCACCTTCCACCATCCTGGCGGTTGCTTGACATGTGTCCCAAACTATACACTGTATCCTGAGATATTATTTTCTAGTAGAAATCTTATCTAATTTGTTCTTGAAACAGCTTACATTTTCTGCTTCCACTGTTTCTCTAGGGAGCCGGTTCCATAAGTTTACTACTCTCTCACTGAAGTAGTGTTTCCGCAGATTTGTTCTGAATTTACGCCCCTTCAGTCGCAGGCCGTGTCCTCTGGTTCTACTGTTCAGTACAAGATAAAACAGCTTGTCATCGTCTGCACTATCTATTCCCTTCAGAATCTTAAAGACTGTAATTATATAGCCCCTCAACTTTCTCTTCTCCAGTGTGAATATGCCCAGTTTATCTAATCGTTCCTCATAGTCCAGTCCCTCCATCCCTTCAATCATTTTGGTTGCCCTCCTCTGTATCCTCTCAACTGCTGCAATATCCTTTTTATTTTGTGGTGACCAGAACTGCACACAGTATTCCAAGTGCAGTCGCACCAGTGATTTGTAAAATGGCAGGATTACCCCACTATTTTGGCTCAATAATGCCCTTTCATTACTACCTAGTATCTGGTTTGCCTTACTGCTACCGAGCAGTGTTGGGATAACTTCATTTTATTATCGATCAGGATCCCTGGGTCCTTTTAATTTTCTGTACAGATTATTTTCTTACCAATTTAAATAGTAGTCCCTACCTGGAACTTTTATCCCCATGTGAAGCACTTTGCATTTGTCTACATTAAATTTTATCTGCCATCCATCTGCCCAATTCCCAAGAATGTTCAAATTCTCCTGGAACCTTCCTGTTCATCTTTGCAGTCTACCACCTTCATTTGCCAAGCTTTTATCATAAAGCATAATGCATCAATCCCCCAATGCTGCTTTGTAGTATAAACTGAGACTATGATCTTAACGACTGAATGTGAGGCTTGAAATGCACGATCTTCTGACTCTGCTACCAAATGAGCCAGGCTGATGCATAGTAAAGATTGAAGGGAAAAAAAAGTCAAATCCTCTTTATAAAGTGAGGATTGCAATGCAACCCTAAAATTCTTTAAGGTTTATTATCAACAAAGGGAGGGGTATTTTATTTTACCTCTTTGTCATTGTAAAGAAATGCCACTTTAGATATTTGCCTCTGCTCTTTGTGCTAATCATTTATAATGTCATAGTTGAAATCATGATCGCACTCCAGTGCATTGCTGGGGGTGTGCTTCATTGTTGGAGTTTTTGTCCTTTAGATGAGATGTTAAATTGATATCCTGTCTGCCTGTCCAGGTGGATGTTAAAGATGCATTGGCACTATTTGAAAAGAGAAGACAGTTATCCCAGTGTCCTGGCCAACAATCCCCCAAATAAAGATGATCATTCACTCCATGGACCATTGTTTAGATACACCGAAAAGTAAATAATTTAAATGACAAGAATTAATATTTGATTTTCTTTCTTGTAGAGACTTGAAGAACAACTTTATCAGTAATATTGAACCAGATGCTTTTGGGGGGCTTTCAGTCCTGAAAAGATTGTAAGTATTAAAATACTCAGTTAATTATGTATTCCTGTATTTATTAATGTGGTTCATCTAGTTGATACTCTATTATGACTAGATTAAGAGAAATGAGGTGTAGTTGCAACTTTCAGCTGATCTGGCATTTGCCAATGTCAAGGACCAGGGATGATAATACATCTTGAGTTGAACACTGTTATCACAGTATTCGAGCATTGTAGTGCCACAATTCTGAACATTTTGAATCCGAGCAAAAATCTAAATGCTAATCCCACCTGGTCGCAAAGTCAATCTGAGCTATGCATTTTAAATTTATTTGCAAAACTGAGGTGAGAGCATGAAAAACAGAAACACAACCTCTTACTGTTTTTTTAAGTTTGTACGCATCTAAGTATGCAGTACTTATTAAACAGATTGGGGAAATTTCTAGTTGTGCTTCCCTTCACTTGTATACTTAAACAGACATGCTGTTCTCCAAACACATATAGGATATTAGTCAAGGTGGGCTTGTGATGTTCACTCTCCTTAATTTCCCCAAAACATAAAATAATACAATTAAGAATACAATACAAGCCTAACACTATCTGTAGATCAAGGAGAGGGGGTGCTGGGTGTGGTGAGAGGGGATCCTGGGTGAGGGGGAGAAGGGTGGCAAGAGTACCGCCTAGCCGTGGAAGCGGGCAAGGAGTTTGACGTCCTAAATGCTATTTAAGTTATTTTTGCAAATATGAAGGCAGATGTATGTTGGTCTTAGCTCTGCTACCAGTCGAGAGTTCTGCTTCCTTAATCTCTGAATTGTGTTATTGTTTGGAACGTCTCAGCAGCAGCCTGAAGTCTGCCTGTAGAGGCAGAGATCTATTAATAGTGTTTGTCAAGTGGAGAATAAGTTTTTAAATTAGCCTATTAACTGTCTTCAGTGCAGCCAAGTTGATGAGTAGTGGGACACAGGTACTGTTCCCCTACACTGCTAAGTTCTGGATCTCAGCCAACTTGTTAAAGAAGACCAAGGGTCACCATAATGGAGAGGAAAATCATCGGACTGGGATTCTCAACCTGTATGTCTTTATATTCTTTTTGGTTAACAGTTACATTGACTATTTCCCAGGAGCAAGCCTGCCCTAAGCATTATGTCTTGATGTAGGGAATATGGAAGAAATAGGAGCTTAAGTCTATGCCTCTCCCCCAGGAGGGTTTACTTCCTTAAACCGTCCTGGGGGAGAAAATGTTCCTCATCTTAACGCTCAATATCCTATTGATACACTTGGTTAATTCAATTTCTTACAGGGATTTATCGAACAACAGGATAGGCTGTATAAATGGAGAAATGTTCAGAGGCCTTTCAAATCTTATCCGTCTGTAAGTTAACCGTTTCACCATTATTTAAAATTTGAGTTGATTTTAAACCTAGCACTTTGTGCATTTTGTACAGTGAATTAAAGTTGATTGTTTTCATCAATATTTTCAGAAACCTTTCAGGAAACCTGTTTTCAACATTGTCTCAAGGCACATTTGAGAGCCTTCAATCACTGAAGTACATGTGAGTGTCATTTTTGAAGATTCTGTCTATGTACCTTTTGTCTGGTGGGGAGGGGGCTGGTAAGGATGTTGAAAATTATATGGAGTTATGGATTTTTTTTGATCAGCTGGGTGTCTAACACATGTGGGTACCCATTTCAATGCATAGGTAGCATATGTGGAACTCTCAGTCTAGTTTAAGAAGCTGAGAGTTTCATGTATGCAACCCGTACATGGATGTTTCCACGTCTGGAATGGAATGTGCACTCTCTTTACAGAGACCTGCGCTCTGCTTAACTAATTCCAGAGAGTATTAGGCACAGGTTGACAAGAGCCAAGGCTTGGGGGACCCCAGAGTGTTCGTTTAGGTTTAAATGGCTAAACTGCATAGCTTGCCATTGAAATCATTGTTTGACAAGCTTTCCACGACTAGAACCACCATTAGGACTTTGTTTTGCAGGATTAATAGTTGCTGAGTACTCTTGCCCCAGTACTATATTAATATGTACGTGCAATTTTCCCTAACCGACCTGTATCCTTTTCAGTGTTGCATCTTCTGCTGAACGAATTGCCACTTGTTTATCATGTGCTACCATAATGCGATCTCAATTAAGTGCAGAATAGCTAAGCAATAAGACAAGTTAGAATGGTAAAAACAAACTGAAGAACATTTAGAGAGCTCAGCTGCACATACAGGATGTTGTATCCTTTGACATGGTATCATCAATATAGTTTTCAAAGTTTCCTCATTATTTTGGTAACTGGTGCAGACCTCAAACCTATGGTGTGCCAATGGTTTGAAGAGTGAAGATTCCCCAATAAGATTGGTATTCTTACTTTCTTTTCTCTTTGTTAGAGAATTTCAAACGGACTATCTTATGTGTGATTGCAACTTACTCTGGATGATTCAATGGATAAAGGCGAGAAACATAACTGTGCGAGAAACTAAATGCCCTTATCCAAAGTCTCTACAGCAGCAGCTTGTGACAAGTGTACGAAAGGAACTTTTGACTTGCGGTAAGATACAAAGACAAAGCATTAAAGTACAACGAGCATGATCACAACTTTCTTCACTCTTGTATAACCAAGGAAAGAAGGTTGTAATTTACAAAACTGAAATACATTCAAAATATCTTGGGTTTTTTTGTATTATTCTTGAAATTCAAAAGAAGCATTTTGTAACCTTGTATTGGCAGAGAAAATTAATTGGCAAACCTTTTTGAAAACTATCATCCAAAGGGCATCTTTGACAGTCACATGCAAGTGGGCGGCACAGTGAGACTACATTCTGGTGGAATGAAATTTGATCTCCCACAAGCTGCTGAAATCCTACTCTCAGCACTGCTGCCCGCCCAGACACACAATTGGCAGTGTGCTGGCAGAAGGCAATGTGTCCTGCCAGAAGTGAGTGTTCTTGGGAGGCTGGAGAGAGAGATTAAAGGGGGAAAAATAGTACCACATTTTTCAGGCTGAACTTGTTTTTAAAGTTTGAACTTTTGGCTGATGTGCTTATGTATCTTGAAGTGAAAACAATATTTAAACATGGTACTATTTGTATGTTATACACAGAGCACTGATCCAAACCCACAATTGCCTCTCCTTCTCTCCCCACTCCCCTTTTCTCTCTTCCTCCTATCCCTCGTCCCTGCCTCTTCCTTGTCTCCCCCCCACCCCCCTCCCAGCCTGCTGCTTTCCTTGGCACAAGCATACCTCTCAGTCCTTTACACTGCTGCTGTGTTGATGCTGTGTGGCTACTAATGCACAAGGCAGCAAAATGCAGTAACTTCCTGGGGCCATCGAAGAACTCTTGACTTTCACCCTCAGCACTAATGTTTGGGAAATGACATGTATAAGCAAAGTCAATTGTGCGATGCATAGAGAATATTTTTTGGCAAATGTAGGTCACTTAAGTTAGTACAATGCGTGTATATGACCCAAAAGGTTTTTTGTATAGTTTTGCACACTCGGGAATTTTGCTCATTTTATGTGGTGCGAGACTTAATAAGGCAAATAAGACCTATTCTAATTTTGAGAATTTTCTTTATCTTTAATTGTAGCTTATTGTTTAAATTGGTTTGCCTCCGAGTGCACTGCCCATCACAGATCTTAAGTTAAAATCTATTTTTAGGCTGACTTTGGTCACCTCCCTCAACCCCACCCCCCCTCATTTGCTCAGCCTCTGAGATGTTATCCTATGTGAAATGTGCTATTTAAATGCAAATTGTTGTTACAGAATTTTGTTTGCAACTATATTTTTTACAAAGAGTTCCAGAACATCTGGTTACCAATAATGCATTCTTCATTTTCTTGAAAGATTTTATTGCTTTTGCAAACTTTACTTCAATCATAGTTTACAACTAATTCAGTAATAATTTTGAATTGTTGACAATGCTTCTCAGCCAGATATATTGAGACAGCTTGTACACTTGTCACTGAAGTCATTATATTATTAGGTTGTATGTTGTGGTGAATTTTTCTAACAATTTAAAAGAGTTAGTTACACTGCTGTATTCTGCACGATAAATAAATATGTAATTAATTGTTCTCTTTATAACAGATACGCCTCTTGAGCTGCCATCCTTTCAGTTGACCCCTTCCCATCGCCAGGTGGTGTTTGAGGGAGACAGCCTCCCTTTCCAATGCATGGCCTCATATATTGATCAAGACATGCAGGTACTCTGGTACCAGGATGGAAAAATAGTGGAAACAGATGAGTCCCAAGGCATTTTGGTTGAAAAAAATATGATCCATAATTGTTCCCTTATTGCAAGGTAATGAATCAATTGATATAACATTCAATAGCCTAAAGCATAGATAACCGTATAGTAGTTTGTTTTTTGTGAACATATTCATTAATCAGCATGAAAAACCAAAACAAAGTACAACATTTTCTTAGACTTTACAACTAAATTTAAGTGACACGCTAAATATATTAAACTGTAAATTGCGCACATTCTACATTTGTAATCTTCGGTCAGTTGTGTCTTTTTATAATATTCTGTTGATCCTACAACATACTGTATCTACTAACTTCTGCATTAACTCGTAGCCTGATGGAAGGTCAAAATAGCTTTGTGAGTTGTGTGATGCTGAAAGTAACATTAGAGTAATAAAGCCACTCAAATATAAGGAATAGCTATTTCTATAATCCAGTGGAATCCCATTATAATGTGTTTCACTTGAGTGCAAATTTGCTTATAACGTGGTTACATTGTGGGCCTCATTCCCAACTCCAAAAGTGTTAATGTTTCAGCTATGAAGCTATTTGAGAATATTTGAGCTGAAAACTGGCAACCCTATGGAGACCTGAAGTTTTGCTTTCCTTGCAAGCAATTTAAGCATTAATATATTGATGTAATTATTGAAATATAATCTCATGGTTGAAAAACATGTTTAACCTTATGAGTCAAACGTGAATTAAGAAATATTTTTGATATCCTATGCAATATTTAGCAATTCTGCATTTTCAGAGAATATATAAATTCTGTGCTCAGCATTAAGATTCTTAAATACTTTGAATTGCTTTAAAATCATATTCTCAATTTTAAATTATTTCAGCATGGAAAAATCACTATATAGCAGCTAATAGCTTTAAGAAGTAATGAACCACTTCAGAGTTCAGTTCATGGTTAATGCACATTCATTTGCTTGCAGTTGATATATCTTGACAGCTCTGGATATTTATAGTAAAAGCAAACACAAAGCTCAGGATTATCCAACTGTGTGTGTTGTTTCTGCTAAACACGAATTTATCTGTTTTTAAATGCAGTGCCCTGACAATCTCAAATATCCAAATGGGCTCCACTGGAAACTGGGAATGTCGTGTTCGAACAAAACGTGGGAACAATACAAAGCAAGTTGACATAGTTGTCTTAGAGAGTTCAGCTCAGTACTGCCCACCTGAAAGAGTGATGAATAACAAAGGGAACTTCAGGTTGGTAGAAATAAGGATCCCACACAAAAAAGTTACTTCTTGCCAAATAGACAAAAGGTTTTCATACTTGTCTCATGTATTTTTTACTTCAATAAACACGTTGTGTTGAATTAAAGTGCTTTCCTTAGTGGAGTCCTCTAGCTCAATGGTTAGAGCACTCGACTTTGAAGCGAGAGACCTGGGTTTGATTCCCGGCAGGGCGAAACCTTGGGCAAGTTTCCTTACTCCACATGCCTGATAATAATCCCTCAAGAAAAAAATAAAATAATAATTTGGTCACTCAATCCATGACTGTTAGTGGGACACTGCTGTGCGCAATTGGTTGCCGCGTTTCACCCACAAATATACAGTCAATTCACTTTACAGTATATTCTGTGAAGCACCTTGAGACGTCTAGCAGACGTGAAAAGTGCTATATCAAATGCAAGGATTATTATTTCTATATAATATGAATGATACAGCTCATCACACTGCCGATTACAGTTAATAAGTTTATGATGGTAGAATTACTAACTAAGGCATTATTGAGATGCACTGACACTCCTGTTCTCTTGAAAGCTAAATGTAATGTATAACCTTGACTAAAAAAGATGTTTTGGAAAAAAAAATCTCTTTCTACAGGAATGCAATCTTGGAAATTAGCACCAGTATTTACGAATATTTAAGACAATAACTCATTTTAATTTTTCTAACATAAAGGTTTGAAGATCACTTTTGTTTCAAAAGCGAGATGATCTGAGTGACAAATATTTTCAAGTGCAAAGGACGTATGTGGAAAAGCAAAGGCCTGCAGAAGACTGGCCATCTGATCTCTCTGGCTCTGTCCCAACATACAGATCCATTCACTTCGAGTGCTGTAAAGTCTGTATGATTTCAACACAAGCTTTGTTCTGCAAGAGAATCCTTTGCAATATCTCAATCATATGATAGTTTTGTTATCTGGGCTCACAAAACACACTGTCACTGCATTACAGTATATCCTGTGAAGCACTTTGGGGTATACTTCCGACGTGAGAGACACTATGATAGTGTAAGGATCGTTATTATTATATTCAGTTCCAGAAAATCATTCAGCAATCTGTGACACACTAAAACACAGACTAGAAGCAGAGGGATTCTCTTGAAGTTCAGCGTTATTGTAAAACCTTCAATGACTCTTCAGTTTGGGATATTAAACACCATCCAGCCTTGCTAAGGACAGCCTTTTGCCAGATTGAAAAAGTCTGCACCTTCCACCCCTGCAATGCAATTTCTGCAGCATGTCATTGTCTGGAAGAGTTTATATTCAAAGCTAACCATCACTTGCGCTTTTGGGACTGGCCAGATGGTCTTTTCCTATTTGTGCATTCTTGTGCTCCAGAGTTGCGGAAACGTTAATTAGACTATGGCGAATCTGTTGTCAGTCAATACCATAGTGCAATTATTTCAAGTATTTAATGAATTTTCCCATCACTTTTTTTATGGTTATTATATGTGCAAAATCCAAAAGAGATCAGTTTTAATAAATGATTCATCATGAGTGGGCAGGTGTGGAAACATTGTGTGTTATGATGCCAGAACCTGGAATTGCTTATTTGTAGCACACTTTAAATGTATAATATTTATAGTTCCTTCCATTTTTTAATTTTAATTAAATGATGAAGTTGTTAAATATATTTTTAATAGCTCTATGGAAGAGTCGGTGTGATTTTGAATGGATTGAGGTGAATTACACACCTAGTTTCAATGACAAATGCTAAACCAGCCTGTGTTAATGGTTCCACTTTTGCCAGATCGAGCTTTTTCACACTGTTGAGCTCAGTACTTCTTCCAGACCAGTAACTTTGATGATATCAGTAGTTGCTGTTCAAACAAAAAGATTAAAATCAACAGGAATAAACGCTCTTTAGTTACCAAGAATTCTGTTTGTTTTTAAAAGAAAGGTGTTGGTTGCAGGGTTAAAGTACAGCTCATGTCCCCTTGAGCGTCTTCAAGATAAAGGACAGGAAAGGGAGAGGATTGTTTCCTTTCTCCCACTTTTGTGACTGGAAGAAGGCTCAGTTGGGCACAGAGCAGTTAATGGACAGCCCGTCAATTTAATGGGAATATCTGACCAAACATTGATGATATTAATAGTATCCAAAGAAACTACATGTTTCCCCCACAAAATATACAGTCAATTCACTTTATAGTATATTCGGTGAAGCACTTTGAGATGTTTCAAAGACGTGATAAGGCACTGAATCAAAATGCAAGGATTATTATTATTGAACACTGTTTTGTTTCCCAAAGAGACTACATGTTACCGACTACAAATGATTGCATTTTAGGAGTGTTCTGGCTGGTCACGAATGTAATACTGTTGATGTCTGGGACACTACACTTGCTGTTGCAGCACTGGGATCATTTGTGTACCAGTGCAGATAAAAAATATGCAGTTATGCTATCCACGTATGCTGTCATGAACTTGGGGTCCCAGCAGAGCTGTGCATGCACGCCGAAACGCGTGCACAGCGTGTAATTGAGCAGCATTTTATACTTACTTCCAGTGTATTTTTACAAGTTGAAAAGAACCTGGCAACCAGAGCATTTTCTTTGCCTGCACAGCGCACAATTGCCAGTTTTGTGAAACATCAGTTTACACTACAGAAAAATACACCAACCGCATTGTGCTTTGTTCCGTTGTTTTGTCAATCAATATTACGTTTTATTTTTCACTTAAAGAGTTTAGCAAATTTAAAGGATTTGGAAGAATAACTGTTAGCTGGAATGTTACAAAACATTTCTGTCCTGTGTTGCTTTCATTTTTTCAAATAAAAAGTTAGCCTGGCAGTACGAGGGTACTCCTAATCTATCAGTTTCCTCCCTCAATTCCCTGGCGCTGAAATCAAAACAAATTACTTCTGTGAACAAAACCAAAATTGTAAACCATTCCATATCCCTTTAAGCCTTGCCCGAGCTTCATCTGTCTCATTCTAAAATTTGTTCAAAGACTGAAGGATTAGTGGCCGCACGTAATTATTTCTACAATAATACAGAGAATATCTTGTTCCTTTTATAAGCCCTACCTTCCCAAAAGCTGCTCTATAAAAACAAAAAACATTCAAGCTCACATTACTGTCTAATCCTTTCATTTTACTGTCTCTTCAGCTGAAGTGCTATTCCTGCCAGCTGTTTAAGAAGTTCGGATTGTTTTTTGCTGTTTGATCTCTTGATATCCTTAAGGTCGACCATTATTAATCTGTGTTGATATCTATTTATTTTGGTAAATTGACTTTTACATCCCTCTCATACATATGTAAAAGCACACCTCTGGCTGCACTCCCATGCAAGCTTATAGCAACCAGTCATGCTGCCCTAAGTTTTTCCCTTATTGCTGCTACTTTATGAAGTTCTTCGGTAAAGTACCAGTTACAACATTTTGCTCACAATAGAAACATACACAAGGCATTTTCCCCACCTGTGAAATAGTGTGTTTATTTACACTGTATTTAAATGCAAGCTGTTGTAAATTTCACTGCAGTCTCTTAAACTGTCAACTCGAATGTTCATCCTTTTCCAACCCATGAAAAATGCAGTGCTTGTCCCTATAATGGGAAGAAGCAAGTATGGTTGTTATTTTTTATTTTCTCATTTATTGCACGTCCCTTTTCGCATGATCCTTAATTTCTTTCTTTGTCTTTTGCCTATTTTTTAGCTTTGTTTACTCAGCTAACACTTAACCAAACACTTCATGTTACTGGACAGGATTAACTGCAGGTTTCTCTACAAAATAAGCATGTGTACTGTAGGTTAAAAGACCCTGCATATTTTCCATTTCACATTGAGTGGAATTTATTTAGCTGAACTGTGCTAGTGCAAATGTATTAGAAGCACAAGAGGTTGCACACCGTGCATGGGTTTCAGCATGCAGCTAGAGTTTTGCTGTGAATTCCCTCCCCACCCACCCACCCTCATCCTCATTATGGTGCACATGTGTTATTTGCACTGCTACACACATGATCCTAGTGCTGCTGTGTAATGTACTAGATGTTAACTGGTTTATATTTGTGGCTTGCAATGTGGAGGTGGTTGCTTGAACAGGTTTGATTCTACGTATAGTGGAGACACTGGAATCTACATTTTCAGTAATGATGCAGAGTTTCCTTAGAATTAAGATGTTAACTACAGGTTGGTTTGTTGTCTGTTCATTCAGTTCGACAAACTAGCACCACATTTCAAGTCCAGTGTGATGCTGTATTTGGCGGTTAATTTTATCTCAACTATAATAGAAATTGTTGACATGAAATAAATCCATCTTATTTTTACTGATTCGCAGGTGGCCTCGCACACTAGCTGGCATCACTGCCTACCTGCTCTGTACCCGTTATTCTGCAGGTACTGGTATATATCCTGGTAGCTCTCAAGATGAAAGGAAAGTGTGGCGTAAATGCGATCGAGGTGGATTTTGGGCCGAGGATGACTATTCGCGATGCCAGTATGCAAATGATGTTACACGGGTGCTTTACATGTTTAATCAGGTACATAATGTGTATTCTCTTGTGTCAGACAACTTTACCTTGTGCTGTGCAAATGTCTGGGTTTAATTCTGCATTCTAAATTCTGCTAAAATACTTTAAGCATGGAAATCCTTTGTGTTTCAATACTGTCTTATTTAAAGTAATATAGCAATGGTTATTATAAATGTGAGATATGAAACCTATTGTTTTAACAAGCTCCAGCTAATATTGTGTCACAGGAAATGTAAATCTGATTTACTGCTGGTGCAACAGAGATGCCTCTTTAGATATGTATTTCCAAGTGCCATTGAATGCTTAATAATTGGTGACATAGTCATTAAATATATATTTGACCTGGGATTTATTCCAATTTGGTTTTATTGTTTAAAAAAGTGATTACGCTACTGAAAGATAAAGAATTTTAGCAAGGCTTGAAATACATGCCCTTGATCTTGTGCATCTTTTTATAAAGACTTAAAAGCTAAAGGTTTGATTGTATACAGAAAATTGTAATTGATATACCAATGGGTCTGAAGTCAGAGAAATCTCCAGGCACAGATGGTTTCCACCCCAAGGTATTAACAGAATTAAGGGAAGAAATTGTAGAGGCAAAAGGAGAGTTTTCGAAGAGTTTTCTCCCAGAGGGCTGCCAACGAATAGAATGAGTTGCCAGGGTGATTTAGTGCAGAGTCAATTAGGAGTGTTGAAAAGCAAATTGGATAAGCACATGCCGAGGAAGGATATCTTAAAGGTATAGGTAAAGAGCGAGGAATTGGGATGAGGATGAATGGCTACTTCGAGGAGAAAGCACCACACAAAGAAATGAGCTGAATGGCTTCCTACTATATTGTACATTTTTTTTTTTTAGTTCTATATTGTCCCTGTATATTGCTTACCTGGGTAAAGCCATTAGGCTGATGGCTCAATAAATGTTCTGGTACCAAGTGATTACGACAACGCTGTTTATGTTCTGAATTTAATAAAAACAGATGCCCCTGAATCTCACCAATGCTGTGGCCACAGCACGACAACTGCTGGCATACACTGTGGAAGCTGCAAACTTCTCAGACAAGATGGATGTCCTCTTTGTTGCTGAAATGATTGAAAAGTTTGGCCGGTTTACAGAGAAGTACAAAGAAGTGAGTTGGTTATGTTGTTTCTGGCAGTGGAACTAAGGTATAGCTTTTTTCTAACACAAATGACTGTCCATGCATTTGTGACTTGCAACTAAAGCTTTTATTTTGATATAGTTTCAATTATCCGGTCAGTTGGCAGCACTCCCACCTCTTAAGTCAAAACGTTTTGGGTTCAAGCCTCACATCAGTATTTTTACCGCACAATGTAGGCTGACACTTTAAATGACATTTCATTGATGGAGGTTCAGTTCTTCAGATGAAACATTAAACCAAAGTTTTGTCTCTACCTGTTCAGCTGGACTTTAAAGAAACCATTTAAATAGAGAAGGGAATTTCTCTTGATCTCCTGGCCAACAATCCCCCAAATAAAATTGGTCATTCACTTCATGGCTGTTTGTGGGACATTGCTATGTGTAAATTGACTGCAGTGTTCACCTACCTTATAGTTACTACACTTTGCAGTAAATCCTGTGAAGGACTTTGAGACATCCTCCAGACATTATTATTGTGTACACAATCTTAAAGGCTTCAGAGTTGCAGAATTGCTGTTCTGACAAATTATTTTATTCTTTCTAGCTACTGATCTTTTTTTTAATTCTTTCAGCTTGGTGATGTTATGGTGGATATTGCTAGTAACATCATGTTAGCAGATGAACATGTCCTTTGGATGGCTCAGCGGGAAGCAAAAGCCTGTACTCGAATAGTTCAATGTTTGCAACGTATTCCCACTTACAGACTAGCCAACGGAGTGCATGTTTATTCAACGGTGAGAATTTGCCTTTGAAATATTTCGCATTTGTTTCAATCCAGGCTAAAGTGCAAAAGATGACAATCTCTGACTATTCATTCCCATGCCAACAACAAGAATATTTGCTAAAATAAAATGAGGACTATCATTCCTCTGATGTTCTGGTGAGAAGGCTATGATATCTGTCGGGCCCTGATGTTCTTGGTATCATCTTACCAAAAAAATGTTTACTTTACTAATAACTTGTCTCATGTTTGTGCAGTATTCTCCGAACATTGCAATGGAGGCTTCTGTGATCAAGGCTAATGGCTTCAGTGGGATGACCTGCACTGTGTTCCAAAAAGTAGCTGTGACGGATAGAACAGGACTTGCTGACTTTGGGCGGCGAGACCCAGATGGCAACTTGGACAAGCAGTTCAGTTTCAAGTGCAGCCCCGGCAACATCAGCAACACACTTTCCAGTTTTGTAATCAAGGTAAAAATACAGAAATCATGGGTTGAGAAAAGGATTAATTCCATCAAGTCCACTCCCTCCGCCGACAAGATGATGTATAAGCAATAAAATTCTATGGATTTTCTATGCAATTGGGTTGAATTATACAAGGATTCCTGCAATAAATTTTATGTGTAGGCAAGAGGTCCTGTATATTTCTACCCAATTGCATAGACAGATACATTAATAAAGACAGAAATGTAACAGGTGAAAGGTGAGATGATTGACAAGTTATTGGAGATGAGAGGAATGAAGCTTGCAACAACAGCTTGCACTTATATAGCACCCTCCACGCAGGGTAGGGTCTCAGAGCGCTTAACCCTACTTGACCCACCGTCATTGCTTCATCTCTGCAAACAGTTTCTCCTCACGCCTCCACATGGTCATTTGCAGCATACCCCAAGGCTCTATTCTTGCCCTTTTCCTCATTTACTTGCTCCGTCTTGGTGATGTCAACTGCAGACATGGGGTCAACTTCCACATGTATGTGGAGTGACACCCAAATCTATGTTTCCTCCTCCACCCATCAACCCAAGTACACTGTCTGCTTGGTTGTCAGATATCAACATCTGGTTGCGCACCAACGTTCTGCAGTTGAATGTTGACAAGACGCAAGCCATGCTCCTTGGCTCCCACCAGCATCTTCTCACCTGCAGCTCTGACCTCCTTATCCTCCAAGCCTTTCCATACAACTTACAGAACCTGTGCCCAACCTAGGCGTCAGGTTTGTTCCCCAGCTGTCCTTCCACAGTGATTAGGACAACTTTCCTCCACCTTCATCACATCGCACGCCTCCGACCATACCTCACACGTAACACAGCTGAAACCTCTTAACTACACATTCATCACCTCCCACTTCAATTTTTCTAATGCCCTACTTGCCCATATCCCCAGCACCATCATTCATAAAATCTAATTAATTCAAAACTCCACCGCCCATATCCTTACCCGTACTAAACTCTGCACCCCTATCACCCCAGTCCCTGCCAGGCTCCACTGGCTGCAAATTACAGAACGGATTGATTTCAAGATCCTAATACTCATGCACAAATCACTTCATAACTTCTGGGTATGTGATGTGTCATTTTAACAGTGTTCTGAGGTTTACTATTGCTAGACCCAGCAGTTCTATGTAGATCTGACTCACATAAATTCCTTTCTAAATTGATGAGCAGTGTGAATCCTGGTCATTTGGTGTGATGAACAATCATACAAAAATTACCAATAGCCCAAGATTGATCACATTCAATCAAATTTATACAAAGAGGCTGAGATAGATACAGGCCTTTCTTTCCTTAAAAGGTTGCATGTCTATTAGCTGTGTAATGCCATAAAGCATCAAGGAGGTGCGCAATGAAGCGCCAAGTTTCAGAACAGCACAGATTTGGATGTGTGGAGAGTGAAAAGCACCTCGTTTTGCTGCCCTCACATGGCTTTTCTGAAATGAGTGTATTTTGACGTACTGTGAAACGAAAAATGATTATCCTCATTTCGGAGGGGGTACAGGGGGTGTAAGTGGAGTCTCCTTGGAGCTAAACTGGCTCCAGGATAAGAAGCCTGATAATGGAAGTCCAGTTCCTGAACCTGGTGAGTCCACAGTATTCCAGGGCACTGCTGATAACAGCACAGCCTGACTCATCAGCGGGACCTGGAAGCGCAGACCAGTCACTGGGGGCAGACATCCCATTCAGCTCCTGTTAACCCTGCAAGCCAAAGCACTAACAGGTAGGGTGGTCCAAGCTGGACAAGCAGCAGGAAAGCTTGCCAAGCTCAATAGCAAGCTATGCAGTTTTAGCTGATTAGACTCCAGTAGTACCCAACACCCACTCCGGGGTCCCCAAGTCTTGGTTCTTGCCAACCAGGGCCTAATACTTTCCGGAATTATGTAAGCAGGATACGTCCCTCCAGGGAGAGAGTGTACATTCCATTCCAACAGTCTATCTCTGAGATTTCCATATGTAGGTGGGATGCATGGAAATCTCAGCTTGGTTTGGATACTCTTAAGCATTGTGATGGGTTTCCGCATATGTCAGACATTCGGCTGACCAAAAAAAAAGAACGAAGCTGTACAGTTAAAATCTAAATTTGGGTTCATCTGCCTCTATGACTACAATTAACTATTTGACATTCTCCAAGAATGGCTGATTGTTGCCTCAGACCTAATGAATAATTTTAATTTCAGTCTCTGTACTCACTCTTATTGTTATGTGTCAATTGTTGCCCTAGAAAGATCAATAGTAGAAAAATGAATTGTGTGTTTTATTGTACTTAGAGCCTTTCTGTGGAATATTTTTCCTTTTGCAGATGTATAATTAATTTTAGCTGTAAGGATGCATTGCGATATGTGAACATTCTCAAAGTATTTATTTGAAATGCTCTCTGTAGAATACAATTGCGGAGGCATCTATTCAGTTGCCACCATCTTTGCTTACCCACTATTCTATGACAACACCAATGGAAGATGCAGTCTACAAATTGCAACTTATTGCTTTCCGGAATGGCAAACTCTTTCCAAGCACAGGGAATTCAACAAATTTGGCAGATGATGGGAAGAGACGGAGTGTGGCCTCCCCTGTGATCTACACAAAGATAGGTAGGTTAGAGTTTGTGGTCTCAGCATCTAGCTGCCATTTTGTAATTTTTGTTTCCATCTGGTATTTCACACCACAGATGACACTGTACAGCGAATTGGGTGACACACAGTAAACTGGCACACATTGTTCATTGGATGGCACACGGAGACTGACACTGATTTTAAAAAAATATTATTTTGTTATTACAAAATAGAAAAGGAATCCATTTATACAAACCCATTTAATTGTGTAAGGATTGAGGATTGAAGGATTGAAAATACTACAAATACAAAGTCATTACACTTCACAGAAAAAAAATCTGAAGCAGTTAGAGACAGTTTATTATAAGGAACTTTATCAAACATAATCTTATTAATAATAATATAATTAATCATCATAAGAATTTTAAATCTCAAGAGCAAGAAATTCAGCTTGTTTTGATTGTATCCATCTATGGATATAATGGTTGTTACTTAGTGTGATTTTTTTAATCCTTATAATTTTTTTAAAAGATGGTAACAGTCTGGATTCCCTCAGCCACCCTGTCACTGTTACACTGCGTCGTATTGCACATGGGGTAGATCCAGTGGGAGCATACTGGGATTTCAACATTCGGAATGGTTTTGGAGGATGGATATCTGATGGATGTCACATTGTCACATCAGATGAGAATGTCACCACAATGCAGTGCTACTCTCTGAACAACTATGCAGTTTTGATGGTAAGCATCTCATAGAACTAGATTGTGGACTTGTGGTATGAGATTATATGTGCATTTCAAAATCTCATACACTAAGTAAAAAAGACCTAACAAAAGGTATCATATATTAGGTAGATAAAACCATTTTACATTTCATCTACAGTTTTTAAAAAAACAACAACCAACTAAAAAAAACTACTACAATCTTTGCAAAGATCTAAAGTTAACCATTGCCAGTGCATGTTGGGCCTGACACTTATTATATTACTGTAGAAAAATATAAACTCCATTCAAAAGAAAACAACCAGGATGAAAAAACCACTGAACAAGTCCAAACTGATGTGTGTAGGGGTGGGGGTTCTAATGTCATGATACTCTGTTGTAAAAGGAGACTATGAAAAAAAACTAAATAAAATGAGATGAAATATTACACATTGCAGCATTATGTCTGGAGCTCCCCACATGAGTTCTTATATATATGGGGGTCACTGGGTGTTAAAGGGGGGAGGGGGAGAGTTCTAGGTCCGTCAATAAAATGAGATAAAAGAGATGTGTAGGAAATAAAAGTTAAAATAGATTGAAAATAGTGAAAATAAAAGACAGACAAGGGAAAATAGGACTAAATTGGTCATGGTGAACACAGCACTTTTAAAATGTTCCTCAGTTAATATTTGTTTTGAATTCATTCTAATGCGTACTGTAATAATATAGGAATAAAACTGTCCTGATGCCTGAGGACCTATTTTTGAGTGAATTAGATAAAAATACAAATGCTCTTAGCTCAAACAATGTAATTTCCATAATCTTACTGAGCACGGTTTCTGGTTTCCACTATTGGGAGTGAAGTCATTCCCAGATGGTGTTGATGTGGGGCACCTCCATTTGCCTCTCCACATCACTTTCAATTGGAGCCAATGAAATTCCAAACATCTGGAAATGGAGCATTTCTGTTATCACAGAAACAGTGATGTGATTCATTGTGCTGAGCCAGTCACATGATGCACCTCACGATGATCATTCATAAAAAAACATGAATGATCGTCGAATCAAAGAAACATAAAGTAACTAACCTTTAACTTGAACTTTCACCCACAAAAATATACAGTCAATTCACTTTAAAGTATATTCTGCAAAGTGCTTTGAGATGTCTCAAAGACTTTTAATACGCTAAATCAAATGCAAGGATTATTACATTATAACTGCAGGTTTGACAATGACTCCTTGCATTATTTTACATGTGGTTATAAAAATCTTCAGCTGCAATTCTGGAATGAATTCCTCTCCCTCATAACTTTCTATATTTGTCATGCAGTTAGATTAAATCTTCTACAGAATACTTCAAGAGTACACACCCCTTCCCCATCCTATGTTTAATTGTTCCACTGAATATTCGGTTCAAATATGACAATAGTTAATTTGGGGGATTGAGTTCATGCCAGCATCCCTTCATGTTCCAGTTCCCTATCTTAACTGTTCAGTGAAGGCTGCGTCTTTCATTCTTTGACTACACAAAGAAATCTTCGCTGAAGAGACAAGATACGGACGTGGGTGATGCCAGCAACTGATAAGATTACAATCCCGTAATCTTTCATTTTTCTCTAAAAATTGCTTGGTTGAGCAACATGGTACTGCTAATCTCTAGTGAGCTATCTATGTAGTCTGCCCCAGGAAACAAATTTTCTTTTCCCCTTCTACCAAAACATTCACTGTCTTCTGATTTTTTTACTCACGCTTAACTGTGCCTATTTTTGTGCCCATCAGGATCTGAATGGTGCTGATTTTGAGCTGCGGTCCATCGACCTCTTACATCCAGTGGTCTATGTCACTGCAGCAGTTTTACTCATCTGCTTGTTCATAATCATTGCTAGCTACATATACCACCACAGGTAATAGTTCTTTTCTGTCTTTCAGTTACAGCTAAACATCAGTTTTACCTACACATTAAGCTTCATAACTTTGCCATTATTAAACTGTTCACATGCTTGTTACCTGTCACACCAAGAGGTTCCAAATGTTTCATTTGTTGGGTGATGCAGTGCATTTACTTGCTACTCGACACAATGAGATCCAGATTTAAACCTCCGATCAGCCACATTTTGCATTTCTTCAAGGCAGTGAGCAGTCAGGCTGGGCTGAATCTATCTATCTGTGTTTGGGGGAGGAAATTGATAGTACCAACAGTGGCTGAGCATGCTTCACAGTGGGTGTAATTAACCACAGCCCTCACTTACCCTATCCGGGGAAGTTAAGAGTGTATAGTTTAGGAACATGCGACAATGAAAACATGGGATAAAGTTTCAGCTAACTTTATTTGTGCTGCATGAGTCTTCTTCCTTCATTAGACAATAGCGGGGATGAGGAGAATTTATTTGGTTAGTACAGTAATAACCTGTACTATTCTTGGATTGACTTTAATATCCTCATGCTCATCTACAAATCCCTGGCATCCACCTACCTCTCCAACCTGCTTATTCCCTATGCCAACATCCGCCACCTCCGCTCGCCTGGCTACGGCTTCCTGCATGTCCCTTGTTCCCTCCATTCCACCATCAGCTGCCGTTCTTTCAGCCACTACACCCTGAAATTCTGGAACTATCTCCTGCCTTTCCCCCTCCATCCCTATTTTCACATCACGTGTTAAGACCTTCCTCTTCGACCGTACCTACGGTCATCTCCCACCAGCTCGGAGTCAGCTAAGCCACTGTTAAGTGCTTTGAGATGCTACCCTGTGTGAAGGGCGCTATATAAATGCTTGCTGTTTTTTGTAACCTGCAGAAAATCACGTTATTAGCCATACACGTCCACGATTAGTACGTTTTGAAAAGAATGAAAACAACGAGTGGAAATTTATGACTATGGAGCCAATTAACTTAACTACCACATGTTTGTAATTTGTACCGTCCCTCAGAGCAATAAAATGTGCAATAGAGCAGAAATGCTGAAGTTACACAAATTTGATTTATAATTTTCTTTTAACAAAAACCTGAATTGCCATTCTTGGCTACCGCACATGACATGAGTCACAGGGTATCGAGAATGTTGGAGGAAAATGTTGTTCTGCTAAACTGACAACCGGGGGAAGAACAGGATCCAGAGAAAAGAGATTGAAACTGTATCCATTTCAGTTGATCTGTGGCTATCTGGCTAACTGTTCCGGTGATTTATTTTCTTTTGACAGTGCGGTGCGGATCAGCCGCAAGAGCTGGCACATGCTGGTCAATCTCTGCTTTCACATTTTCCTGACCTGTGCAGTGTTCGTCGGTGGCATCAATCAAACCAGGAACATTAGTGTTTGCCAGGCGGTAAGCAGAAACTATCTTATTTTCTCTCCATACACTACATAGCAGTGGGAATCTTTACAAAGCAATCCATGGACACAGTCATGCTTTGCAACAGGTGCATCTGTTTTAAGTAATGCCAGTGATGAAAGGCTAAACAGGGGCATTCTCTTTCACCACCACCACCACAACAACAAAATTCCACTTATATAGCGCCTTTCACCACCAACAACAAACAGCAACAACTTGCATTTATATAGTGCCCTTCTTGCAGGGAAGCATCTCGGAGAACTTAACAGTGGCAGAGACTGTCGTCAAGCTGAGAGAAGGTCACCTTAAGCACAGTCAAAGAGGGAGGTCCTCACACATGATCTGAAAATGGGGAAAGAGGGAGCAAAATGGATGGATTGAGGGAGAAAGTTCCATGGTTTGGGGGCATTGTTGCTGTAAGCATGGCTGTCAATGTTGGAACGGAGAGGGCGAAAGACAAGTGGGAGGGCAGAGCCAGACGAGCGGAGTGTTTTTTTTTCAAAGGTTGGAAAAAGATATGGAGGTCTTGGAGTCGGGGCGGAGGGTGATATGAGAGGAGAGGGAGATGAGGAAATGATCAGAGATGGCCTTGTTGGTGATGGACAAATCGGAGATGTCAAAGCCATGGGTAATGACAAGGTCGAGGTGGACTGGCCACTGTTGGGGATTTTATGTGCAGAGAAGTTTAAAGGAGGAGAGGAGTGCAGCAAAATCCGAGATGATGGGCAGGCGAAGTTAATGTGAAGATTGAGATTGCCCATTATGAGCATTATGAACCCATTATGTGGTCAGTGTAGAGGCCAATCCCCAAGAAAACACTCTTTACTCCACTAGCATGATTATTTGAAATTATGTAAATTTTATGTAGCCTTCATGGGTGAGATTGTCGGTTTCTTCTATATTATGGACAGTTTGTGCTGTGGAAGCAGTAATGCCCAAAATAATTTCTTAGATAGGAATTCTGAATTCCAGTTTGGCTGGATCAAAATGTAGGTGAAAAGCCAACATGCTGTATTACTGTTTCCTCAGGGGCTGACAATATTGACTTGCACGGATGCTCACTCCAACTCAATAAGCTGATGCAGAATCTCAGTGTTTTGTTGAACCCCCAACATTCCTTTACACATCCCTACACACTGACTCTCACTCAATGTTGATTTCCCCCACCCCTGCAACATTGCCCACCTCCACCACAACCTCAATTCCTGGTTGCCGAGACCCAGATTTACGCCTTCATAACATCCAGGCTCATTTCTTCCAACACTGCCAGCCAGATTGCCCAGCTCCTCTTTACACAAGCTGCAGCCCATTCAGAACACTGTAGCCCATGTCCTCTCCTGGACCAGGCACGACAAACTTATCGCTCTCTTCCTCGCTTGGCTCCACTGACTCCTGATCCCCTGCGATCAAATTCAACATCCTTAAGTCCTCGCATTTAAATTCCTCCACAGTCTTGCCCACCTATGTGACCCTCTGGAATTCTACCAACCTGACAGCTCCAGCTTGTTCAGCTAACAGCAGAGTGCCTCATGTGCCCTGCCCAATCCGTTCCACCATCGGTGGGTGACCTTACAGCAATTCTGCCTCCGCTCTCTGGAAGAACTATCTGGAGTCCCTCCACCTTGTTCTCTCCCTTCCCACTTTTAAAGCCCAACTTAAGACATTTCTAGTTTGTGGTCTAAATAAAAAGTTCCATTAAATATTGAATATTAATCAATTCCCTCCGATGATAGCTTTCCATGTCGACATACATTAGAATATACAGCACAAAAACAGGCCATTCGGCCCAACTGGTCTATGCCGGTGTTTATGCTCCACGTGAGTCTCCTCCTGCCCTTCCTCAACTAAGCCTTCAAGCATAACCTTCTATTCCTTCTCCCTCATGTATCTATCTAACTTTCTCTTAAACATATCTATGCCATTTGCCTCAACAACTCCTCGTGGTATCATGTTCCACATTTCCACTACTCTCTGTGTGAAGAAATTTCTTCTAATTTCCTTAATTAATCTATTTGTGACTGTTTTATATTGATGCCTCTGGTTTGGGTTTCCCCACAAGTGGAAAAATCTTCCCTATGTCTACCCTATCAAAACCTTTCAGCATTTTAAAGACCTCTTATCCTCCTCTTTTCAAGAGAAAAGAGTCCAAGCACGTTCAGGCTTTCCTGATAGGTATAACCTCTCAGTTCTGGGATCATCCTTGTGAATCTCCTTGGCAACCTCTCCAGTGCCTCTACATCCCTTCTATAGTGTGGGGACCAGAACTGCACACAGTATTCTAAGGATGGTCTAACCAAGGTTCTGTAAACATCCTACAGCTGGGTTGAGGATTCACCTTGCGGATCACCGATCCCATCTGCCAGGTTTCTGGGAACATGGCCTTACTCTTGACTTTTAGTAAAGCCATGATTTAGCTAACCAGAAGTTGAAAGTCACAATCGATAAGTCAATGCAGAACACAAACTTTAGGATATCAACACTACAAAGTATCAGGGAATGAGAGGGGGAGAATTCCACATTTGTGGAATTTGTGTAATTCATATTACATGCTGAAGGAATCCCTTCAGTAGGACCAATGACGGGATATTCACCTGCTAAATTACCTGTGAAGTCCTTTGAGACATTCAGTCACATTCAAGGATTCATTTTATTACCACTACTATCATTTAGACAGTAAAATGTCAGATGATATTTCTATTGTTTAAGTATGACTGGCTGGGTAACTCATGCGGAACAGTTGTGAGTGGATTGCACCTGTCTGCCTCTAAATGGGTTACAGCAGTACCAAGCACTGCTTGGAATATTTGTTTTCTAGGTAATGTATGCCTGAGTTTCTTTTATTTTGTATCACTTCTGTGGGAAAAGAACAGTTTATTTTCTGCGAGGGCACAGGTTTGGTTATGTAAATATAAGTGGGTAAATTTCAAAGTTAAATTTCTGGAGAACAAAGTGCATTGAATCAATTTTCTCTGGACTTTGTAATTACTGTACAATGTTCCACATCAGGGTATTTGCAGTACATAGTCTGATTATTGTTTTTATCTTGGCTGCTCAAATAACTTGTTTTTGTATATATACCCCATATTTTAGTTGCTTTGTTTGTGGTGCATTTCAACTGCTGAATATAATACATAATATATCACATAACATGAATCATAACCTAAAACATAAAATGAAATACAGTTCAAAAAATAAAATACACAAGCTCTAGTTTATAATTAATAATAAGCTTGCATTTGATATTACTCATCAACCCTGAACATAAGATAAAGTTGCTTAAAAAATTGTAGAACATTATAGAGCATAATGAAAGGAATCTGAAGATTAAATTACGTACAATACAATATAAATTTTACATTTATATAGCGGCTTTCACGTCGGGAGGATGACCCAAGGCACGTAAATGTGACATTTCAAATACTTTATACCGTATATCTTTCAACTTCCAACATTGATAATCTGAATTCTAGTGGAGCCACATTGGTGTCTAAAATGCTGTGACTTTAAGCAGGATTCTCAGTTGGGGCCCCTTTTGGTAATCACAAGTTTATCGCACATCAACCAGCAGGAGCTCAGCCCTGAAAAGGGATTACGCTGTAGGGGGTTCTCAAGAATCAACATGCCAGACGTTCTGATTGCTATATTTTAGATCCTATTATTTTCTAATATTTGGCTGAGTCAGAGCAGCAAATATATTAATGCACCATTTTTATATGACTGGAAAAGTTAATTAGAATTCCCCCCACCCACCGAAATCTGTTTTATGGCAATATTAATGGACCTTCAGGAAAGTAATGTAATGAATGAATTAAAATCTCCACCAAACAATCAGACTGTTCCAGTAGATGACGCACAGAGATTGCTAACTGTGTAACTGCCAAGTTTTGACTAGCGAGAACACTTTAGCCGTGTAATCTCACACAACAGTGCAGAGTGAGATCAGATGCCTGAACACATCAGTAGAATGTATAATTGCAAAAAATCCAGCATATTTTTTCACAAAAAAAGGTTTTTAATGATTGGGGGGAAAAAAGCACAGATAATTAAAGTACTTTGGAATACCACAACGGTTAAACACATTTAAAGTCCATAACTTATCTTGTGGCTAGCGCAGTATTAGTCTCCTTCAAGTCCCGCCTCAAGACCTTCCTCTTCGACCATGCCATCGGCCACCCCCCTTCCCCTCCCCTCCCTTACCCCCCAACCCCAGCTCAGGTCTGAAATGCTGAACACTGTCCAGCTCCTTGGGACATCCTCCTGACGTGAAAGGCGCTAAACAAATGTAATCTTGTTGTTGTTGTTATGGCAAAATTATCTGGACCTGTTGTACTTCCAACATATGCCAAAGTAAGACATGCAGATGGAATTCTCTGCCATTAACCACTGTTGTAGCAGAGACCATCAATTCTTTCAAAAGCGAATTAGATGCTTGGGGAAAAAAAGCGAGAATATTACTGGATGTGAGCATGAGAATGGGATTCGTCTAGATTGGTGGTGGCCAACTTATATTGTCAGGCAACAAAATACATTTTCTTGATTGAATATGTCTTGATTTATGCCATAAATCAAGAAATATTCAATCAAGAAAAAACTGGAAGCACAATAAGGATTGAACACAGATTTACGTAGACTCGTGCGAATGCTCGGGAGAGGGAGGTGCTTCTTGGCAGCCCCGGTGCCACTTCCGGCTCACGGTCCCCAAGGTTGGCCACCAGTGGTCTTCATTCGGAGAAAACTGCCAATTCACTACACGTTCTGTGAAGCACTTTGAGACATCTCTACAACATGACAAAGCGCTACATCAAATGCAAGGATTATTATTATTTAACAGTAAAATCTTATAAACTGCTTTGGGAGGTTCGACAATGGGGTAAAGCACTGTATCAATGCAAGAGTTTATTATTATTATATTTCTACTTTTTCTCATGCTTCTTTTGTCTCTTAAAATGCAGGTGGGTATAATTCTACACTATTCCACACTTTCCACCATCCTGTGGGTCGGTGTTACAGCAAGGAACATTTTCAAACAGTTGACAAGGAAAGCTAAAAGGTGCCAGGACCCTGACGAGCCCCCTCCTCCTCCCCGGCCAATGCTTAGGTGAGAAGCTTTATTCACCTTTTATGTTTCTAGGGTTAGCACATGGAAGTTTCAGCAAGTCCCACAAATTTTCAAATGGAAAATGAATATATTTCACTTTAGAGATTTCATTCAGAAATAAAGCATTTTGTTAAAAAAATCTTAAACTTAACCATTTGCTTCAGACCTATCATACCTAAATCACTTGGCGATCAGGTATAGTATTGTTTCATTTAATTTTGTAATTGTTACATTGTGGTTTTCCCAGAATTAAAGGGGAATTGGATATGATATGGTCATGTTCATTCATTTATTCTTTCTCAGAGACATTAAACTGCTGGTCAATCTGAGGAAGGGTCCAATGAAGTATCTCTCGACCTTATGTTTAATACCTAACTGTATTTAACACTGCAGTTCAGTGTTTTTTTAAACTAAATTTGTTAAGGAGTGGAAGCCACAGTGAAAGGCTGGAGTTTCTTCTGTTCAGTATGCTGTCTGATTCATTAGTAAGTAGTTATAGAATGTAGTGACGTGATTATACAGCGAATGCCAATTTCATGCTGGGTTTGGCACGCAACAGATTATTTGAAAAGTTTATATTGGTGTGCTATAAGACAGTTCTAACTGGTTTTGTTGTCGAAAAGCAGATATTGAGCAAATTAGAACACTTGGCATCAGGTTTTATTTCCTATTACAGCCAAGAATGTCAGCGTGGCTCAGTGGTAGCACTCTCGCCTCTGAGTAAGAAGGTTATAGGTTCAAATCCCACGTCGGAACTTGAACTCACATAGTTTAAGGTGACACTCCAATGCACAGTGGGGATGTGTTGCATGTGGGAGGTGTTGGTCCTTTGGATGAAATGTTAAACTGAGTTTCTGTCTGCCTGTTCAGGCGGAATTATTATTATTAAGAACCTGCATGCTTAAGAGATTAATCAGAACACCCACAGTTGCTATTACTGTAAAATACTGTAAAGAATTGAACAACAGTGGGGGAGAATCCCATTGATCAATGCTTGAGGATTGTAGCCTGGATTGTAAAACTCACTTTATAGGTCATTGTAAAAGCTACTTTAATTTGTCGAACTGTATTAGTTCATTAAATGGATGGAGGAATACAATTGGCTGAGGCACCTTTCATTAATATAAGTATCCAATTTCCTTTAGGAGAATCTTATTTCAAGACCAGGTTGATGAAATTACTGAAGTAGTGTCACAACAAAAAGTTCCACAGCAGTCAAATGAAATTTTTAAAATGAATTTTTTTTAAGACATGAAGGAATTTATAAAAAATGAACCAATACAATAACAACAACATTACATTTGCATAGCACCTTTCACATCGGGAGGTCGTTTCAAGGCGCTTAACCAATCTGGTACTTAAACACTTCAGCACCTGCCAGTCAAAAGGTAGATAAATCTGAAATATAAAATTTATAGAGAGAAATCAGTACATCTTGAAAGAGATTAAAACCTTGGATTGTGAGATATTAAGTACAAACTGGTTCTAAAGTACAGTCGGATGAATTTGTCATATGAAATGTTACATTTCTTGGGATTGTTTAAAAGTCATAATTTTGCAAATGATCTAGTGCCTCTAATATCAAACTGTTCCCAAAGCGCTTCACAAGCAATTGCTGTAAAGTCTAGTTACTGTGTATTTCTGGGCAACTGTACTGCTCTGGGCAGGCTGTACCTAGAATATTGCATAACAGTCCTGGTTACCATGACGTAAAGACCTACAGTAAGTACAGATGAGAGCATTGCGTACCTGCATCCCATTGCCTTATGATGCCTCACATCAGTGCTTCTTAGCACTGCAACATCCCTTTTTNATATTTAAAAAATCTAGCAATCAGAAAACAATTGTGTTTTATTTAGAAACTACATTTGCAGTTGTTTAATATCTTTCTCTTCACATTCACGCAGGTTCTATCTAATTGGAGGAGGAATTCCTATCATAGTTTGTGGCATCACAGCAGCAGCTAATATTAAAAATTATGGGAGTGAAGTAAATGCACCATAGTAAGTAAACTGCTTTCAACCTTCTTTGGATTTGTGATGAGAAATGACAGTCTGCGTGTAGATTTGTTGTCAGAAGACAACTATCCTGTTATGTGGTAAGACATGGTCATTGGAATATTTTTGTGTCTGTAAATAATGATATTGCTATGAAGTCTGTTATCTCCTGGAAACTGTCATTATTGCCCTGATAATACTGGGAAGAGGCAGCACATGACAGGGCTGTGGTTATAACACAAATCTTCTGATATTTTAGACCCTATAACTGAGGCATAATTAAATGCGTTGGTGTTGTGATATTAGGTGATTATGTAAACATTAACATTCCTTCCATCAAACATTGAACTAACTCAGTGAAGTCTCGAGTGCAAACCATTAACCCTTACTGTGCTGGCAACAAATAATCTTACCACTTGGGCTGCCAATTATGATCGGTCTCGATATGACTAAACATTGTCAGAGTTTGACCTGGTTTTTATACACTTATGCAATTGTGGAGTGGTGGGTGGGAGGGGGAGGGGTAGAAATTCAGCATTTGAAGTCACATTTAACAATGGATAGAATGGGTGAATTAGTTTATATTTGAGATAAAATTAAGCTAAAATAACAACAACTTGTATTTATATAGTGCCCTTCAAGCCTGATGTGGTCTTGGAGCGCTTTACAGTGGCAAATCCAATATCGAGCCAGGGGTAGGGGGAATGTGACCGTAGGCACAGTCAAAGAGGAATGTCTTCAAGCACAAACTGAAAATGAGGAGAAGGGGGGCAAGGTGAAGGGATTGATGAAGAGAGTTCCACAGCTTCGGGGCGTAGTGGCTAAAAGCATGGCCACCAATGGTAGGGCGGAGGGTCTGGGGTACAAAGAGGAGGCCAGAGTCAGTTGAGTGGAGGCAGTGGGTAGTGGTGTATGGAGAGAGCAAGTTGGAGAGATAGGGTGGGGCCATGGCATGAAGGAATTTAAATACAAGAGTGAGGATCTTGAAATTGATCCGCTCTGTGACAGGGAATCAGTGAAGTCTAACAAGGACTGGGTTATTGGAGGTACAGAGTTTAGTGAGTGAGAATGCGGGTGGAGGAGTTTTGAATTATTTTGAGTTTTGTGAATAGCGTAGCAGGGGAGACCAGTGAGGAAGGCATTTGAGTAGTGGAGATGGGAAGTGACGAAGGCGTGGACGAGGGTTTCAGCAGCTTTTGCAGTGAGGTACGATGGCAGCGGGCAATGTGGCAGAGGTGGAGGAAAGCGGTCCTGCCTAAGGCAATGTGGCGGAGAGTTGACAGGAGCCAAAGTATATGGCTTCCACCATGTCAACATTTAGCTGCAGTAAGTGTCTGCCCATCCAGGCTTGATGTCTGTCAGACAAGCTGACAGAACATCAGTGAACATCAGAGTTGCAGCTGGAGGAGAAGTAGATTTGTATGTCATCCGCATACATGTGGAGGTTTACCCCGTGTCTGCGGATGAAAAGACCAAGAGGGAACATTTAGATGAGGAGAAGAGGGGCAAGGATGGAGCCTTGGGTACCCTGCAGTTGACCTGGTGGGGGCGGGAGAAAAAAANCATTGGCCGAGATGTAGTGCTGGCAGTTCGTTAAGTAGGCTGTGTCAGCTCCTTTAAGAGCAATCCATTCAGTCCAATAGATTTGATGTTCAGGCTTGAGTGTTTCCGTAATATCTAATGTTAATATTGTACATTTATTTGTTTGTACAACAAAGTGTTGAGGATAAAGTTATGCTAAATGTGATGTATCGTTCATAACATCAACAAATTGCATTTATATAGCGCTTTTCATGTGGGGAGGACGTCCCAAGGTGCTAGACAGTCGCGGGTTTCCACTCGAGCTGGGGATTGGATTCGGGATGGCTAGGGGCTAAGGGGGCTGAGGTTAGGAAGATGCCCAAAGGTGCAGTCGAACAGGAAGATCTTGAGACAAACCTTGAAGAAGGCAAGAGAAGGGGTGAGGCAGAAGGACTTTGGGATGGAGTTTCAGAGAGTGGGGGCATAAAGGCTGAAGGTCCAACCTCTGATGGTGGGGCAGGCAGGGCAGGGGCGAGGGAAACAGGCAGAGCGAGGGAGTGGGCAGGTTGGTAATGTTTTAGAAGGCACAGAGGTAGGGTGGGGCAAGACTATGGAGGGATTTAAAAGTGAGGACAAGAATCTTGATCTCGATCCTCTGGGGCTTGGGGATCTTGGTGTACGAAATGTAAAGAGTGAGATGTATGGAATATATACAAATAGAAGTATATGGTGCAGATAAATATTTTCCATTGGATTTTTTTTAACTTACCTAACCACACTAAGTGTTCTTGCCTTTGGCCACTCAACATTGATATGTGAAACCATTCCTAAAATATTACATTTCTGCTTACTACTTTCGAAGTCTCAACCATCTTCAATAATATTTATATAGAGTACTTGCATCATCTAGTGGTGGTGGAAATGTAATGCACAGACTTTTTTTTAATTTACTAATGGGGTTTCTGATTGCCTTGCCTTGCAATTCTCTTGCACCCACTGACATTCTACATTAATGGGAAAGATTTCCACCCAAACACTTAATTTACTGAAAGAGCTAACTTACTGTTGAACGTTTGATGAGGTTTAACAAACCCTTTGAATATTCGATGAATGGCAGAAATTTTAACCCAGTACTAACATTTTTCTTTTAATGTATTCTGTCTGATCATGTGCAAAGTACTGTATTTTTTCAAATCAATGTTTTAATTCTGAATATATTTTAACAAATAGAATTATTGGAAAATATAAGCAATTTGCTTACAGAGAATATTTACACTACAGCACTATATATTTGTAAATTCTATTTTTTCTAAAGTTGCATTTTTAACAAATGTAGATGTCAAGTGATAAAACATTAAGAATATTTTTTAAAAAATCACATTGGGCGTTTGACCACAGTTTGATTGATAAGATTAGTATCCAATAGTTCATATGATTTTTGGTTTAGCAGTTTCAGTATGTTATCTTCGCCGATGGGGGTAAGAGCGAAATTACTTGGGGTCATTGTCTCTTAAGAATTCATAGTATCGATCTTCCACTCAGCTGGAATTTGATACTCTTGGCTTGTATTCAAAGAATGATGATGATTGTTCCTTCTGCAGGAAAATCACCCTATGTAGGTTGTATTTTCATTGTTCTGTTTCATAAGTAAATTGGTGATATACTGTACTTTGGATGCATTTTGTTTTTGTCCAGCAGTTAGCAAACATTTCATCAATACAATTACAAACATTTATGTAGCAGTGATCATTACGTCGTACTGTATCAGACAGAAATAGACTCACTTCCCTTAAACTACAATTGCCCAAGACAAAAGACTCAGTTACAGTTTTTGCATGTGTTCAAGTGTTAATAACTTCCAAATGTTTCACGTAATAGCGCAATGCCTTTTAATTCCTGTGTGAACGTTTTGCAAGTTGTTATTTTTTGGCAAGCACATCAAACACAAATTTTGTTTAGTTACCAGAAGGAATAAAACACACTGTTGATAATAAATAATGTAATAATCCTTGCTTTTGATAAAGTGCCTTTCATGTCCGGAGAATGTCTCAAACTGTTTCACAGAATTCACTGTAAAATGTAGTGATTGTATTTTTAGACAAACACGGCAGCCAATTTGCACACAACAATGTTCCATAATCAGCCATAAAGTGAAAGGCCATTTTTTATTTGGAATTTCAGCCTAGATTATAGGAGTTCAAAGTCCCAATGTGATTCTTGAACTCAAACCCTTTTGACTGGTTGGTGAGAGTGCTACCAGCTGAGCTGAAATATTTCCTATTTCCAAACCACCAAAAGATCTTTCTTCACTTTATCTGATATTCAAAAATGTTTCAACAATTACAATATATCAAAAATATAGAGTAGTTAAGAAGTGCGTTGATTAAACAGGCCTTTTTTAAAACAAATACAAATTATTGGAACTTAAAGGAAAGGTGATGGCACTGACAGCATCAGCATCCAAGGCTGTACTTTCCACCTCTCAAAGCCAGTCAGGAACCTCGGTGTTCTCTTCGACCCTGAGCTGTCCTTTCACCCTCATATCTGCGCCACAACTGGCACCGCCTTCCACCACCTCCGGAATGTCGCCAGACTACGGCACTACCTCACCCCTCACGCTGCTGAAACTGGTCCACGCCTTTATCACCTCAAGGCTGGACTATGGGAACTCTCTCCTCGCCGGCCTTCCCGGCACCTCCCTCCACAAGCTGCAGGTCATTCAGAACTCTGCAGCTCGTGTACTGTCCTGCACCAGGCTTCGGGACCACATCACTCCCACCCTCGCTCGCCTCCACTGGCTCCCCATCCCCCAGAGGATCGAATTCAAGATCCTCATCCTCACCTACAAGGCCATTCACGGCCTTGCCCCTCCTACCTCTCTGACCTACTATCCCCCTACCTACCTGCCCGTACCCTCCGTTCCTCTGGCTCCGGTCTGCTCCACATCCCCCGCCCCAACCGCCCTACCATCGGTGGACGGGCCTTCAGCCTCTCAGCCCCGAGGCTCTGGAACTCTATCCCCCAGTGCCTTCGCCGCCTCCTCCCTTTCCTCCTTCAAGGCCGGTCTCAAGACCTTTCTCTTTAACCGTGCCTTCAGCTCCCCTCTCGACTCTCTACCCCTTCCTCGCTCCCTTCCTTCCCTCCCCTCACCCTGACCATTTCCCCCCTGCTCGGGTCCTGACCCAACTGTACAGCGCCTTGGGACGTCCTCCCGACGTGAAAAGCGCTCAATAAATGGAATCTTGTTGTTGTTGTTGTATGGCCATGGTGGACTGGGAATACGGGAAATTTCTGAGTGCCCCCTCGCAGGAATTCATCACCCCCTCAAAATGCAGTCGTGCCTCCAGCCGCTAGACAGGAGTGCACAGCATGAACGGTGGCCACAGTGTAGCTGTTTGTGTGCAGTCGAGAATTGGAAACTGAAAGATCCTCGCTATTGCCAACAGGCAGGTGAAGAGTGAGGGGTGTGGGGAGGAAATACTTCTCTGATTTTTTTTATTTTTCGCCCAACGAATCGATGCCCCCAGTTTACGTGACAATCCCGAGCCCTTTCAGGGAGTCACTGTGTTTCACCAACCAAAGTCTGATTTTACTGAGTTGAATTTCAACAGCATTATTGGATTTATCCAGCTTTGACAAAAGTCAGCAGAAGGAGATATTTGTAGTATTTGGCAAAGCATCCCTTTGTGAGTCACTCCACAGCAGAAAGATTTGCCCAGGCGCTTTCATCTGACTGTTGTAGATAAAGTACAAATTATGCTTCATCCCATATAAATCACATGTTGGCAGATTAATACTGAACTGTTTATACCAGATGTGTAATGCTTTAGAATTCAGCTAGCAAAAAATCTATTTTAATTTTTTTTGTATTTTTTTTTCAGTTGTTGGATGGCTTGGGAACCAAGTTTAGGAGCATTCTATGGGCCTGTGGGCTTTATCTTCTTTGTGAACTGCATCTACTTCCTTAGCATTTTTGTGCAGCATAAACAGCATCCAGAACGTAAATATGAGCTAAAGGAAACGACAGAAGAACAGCAACGTTTGGCAAGCATCGAACATGGCGATTCGCATTTAAATGATTCAATGTCTACATCGCAAGCAAACTGTTCAGTGGTTTCATCCTCTGCACTGGAGAATGAGCACACGTTTCAAGCTCAGTTGATTGGTGCAAGTCTAGCATTATTTATGTATGCTGTGCTCTGGGTATCTGGGGCTCTTGCAGTTTCACAATATTATCCTCTGGATCTTATTTTTAGCTGTCTCTTTGGGGCGACAGCTTTGAGTCTAGGTGCTTTCCTTGTGCTTCACCATTGCATTGGCAGAGAAGATGTAAGACGATGTTGGATGGCTACTTGCTGTCCAGGAAGGAGCACCTATTCTATGCAGGTGAATGTTCAACCTCCAGGTGCCAGTCTTACCAACGGAGAGGCTCCAAAATTTGCAAACAGTAGTGGAGAATCCTCCACTACCAACAAGACTGCATCCAGCAACAACAAACTTTCCCAGGGATGTAAACTGACTAACCTTCACGCTGCAGCAGTGCAGAATCAGATCAATCCTGTGGCTAGCAACATATCTACACAGCTCGACAACAGCCTTACAGAGCATTCAATGGACAATGACCTGAAAATGCACGTAGCTCCTGTGGAAGTGGCGTACCGTCCCAATGGACAAGTGAACAGGCACCATAAAAACCGGACTAGGGCACACCAAGCTCATCGACACAGCAGACTCGCAGTGTTAAGAGAGTATGCGTATGATGTTCCTACAAGTGTAGAGGGAAGTGTGCATAATGGCCAACCAAAGAGTAGGCACAGCAACCATGAGAGTCACCATGGCAGTAGACGGTCTCGCTCTGCTTTGAGGGAGCGCCATTACAGCCACAGCCAACTTGACAACAGTGATGTCAGCTACACACTGACGCATTGTAATCGAAATGTAGAGAAGGACGGGGTCAGTAGCAGTAAAGACAGTTTACAGCAGCCTATAATGGTTGAACTTGAGAACCAGAAATCGTACGGTCTTAATTTGGCCACTCAGAATGGACTGCTGAAAGGCAGCAGCCAAGATGCACCCTTGCTCAATGCAGACAGCACTGGAAACATCAGAACTGGGTTTTGGAGAAACGAAACTACTGTGTAGTTTACAAAGTCTCCCAATTTTTTTAAAAAAACATATCAAACTGTGAGGTACATTCTTTTGAACTGTTAAAATTATTGTTGTAAAAATGTTTACAAAATAACATTCTACATTGTAAAATGAATACAGAAGGTACGGTCTGATTTCTGATACGTGAAGCTATAATTTTTTTAAATTTTCTGTACATATCTTTTTAAGTGATCCAAACTCATATTAATCCTTTGTGTAAAGAGACATAGAGAACAATGCCACAATTTCTATTTTTATAGCATTTAGTTCTGTTGTATTATGCAGTACTGGATGTTTTTTTAAGCTTTATACATAAAACTGCATGAATAGTGAAGCTCAGAAACACTGCCTAATATCCATCTTCTGGGTCTGTAATTTTGCTACATAATAAAATGTTTGTCTTGTAACAAGTATTACAGCATGTTTGAAAACAATCAGTGTGATCCGCTATAGCTTTTTAGTCCATTGTAATATTATAGATATATTTTGGTATATGTACTGAACATATTTTCTAAAAAGTGTACCTGGTTGAACCATTGCTCAATAGGAAGGAATGTGTGTCCAAGCTGTGGGCATGGAGATGGAGGCAATATTCTCACACATTTCATGCTGAGCTGTGTTGCCTACTAGGAAGCCCACCAGGAGTTCCTGGTACCTGCCATCCATCTAGTAGTGATACAAATCCAGGCTTGTTGGATGTTAAGTGACTGTTGTTCTGGGGGATCGAGATAAATGGGGTCTCCTTGGAGCTAAACTGATTCCAAGATGACATGCTTTGTAACAGAATTCAGAATCAAGCCAACCCTCTGTGGTGGTCTCAGTAATTCACTTCCTGAGTCAGGGAGCTGCTGATGACAGCCCAGCCAGCCTGGCAGGACTTGGAAAGGCAGACCAGTCCCTGAGGACAGGGACTCTTCTCACCCTGCACCTGTTGACAAGGGAAGGCAGACTGAGTCAGATCCTGGAGGAGAGGCTTAAAGGAGATTTTGGAAAAAAATAAAAATGTGCATTAAGTGGAGGACAGAGTCTGGCTTGGGTGAGATGTTTCCTTCTGACCAAAAAGCTTGGTTGAGGAAGTGGAAGCAAGTGTTTATAGAATCCACATTTAAAAATAGAGCCTGGGAACATCAATTATGGAACGTGGGATGATAAACGCAAAGTACAGTATAGAGAGTTCCCTGGAGACAGTTTTTCTTACATTTTAAGCTCACATTATGTAACATGGACAAAAGTGGATACTACAGTAATAAAACATCAGAACAACGTTATAATTGTGATTTTAACTTTAATCAATTAATCCAAATACAAAACTACTTAAAATATTTTATAAATTCAACTTGCTCTGTCACTGATTATACTTCTAGTTTCTCTTCTTCCCCGTTCTCAGCATCATATATTCTTTATATTTATGTTATTTTCTATTTTACATGGGCCTTCCAGCAGGGGTCTCTGGATATGATACAGGAGCTGGAACCTTGGCTGTTTCGCCCCCTCCACACCCCCAACCCAGGGAGCTCAGGCAAAATTAGATTTTGTTTTCCCCATCCAGCTATCAAAAGGGATGATCCTCCTATCATGGGATCCAGGTAACCTTCCTATTCGAGGCTAAAAGAAGTAGTTAAGGAGCAATGCGGTTTGACCTCTGCAGTATAAACATTGTGAGTGTGTATCACACAGAGATCACTCATGTAATACGTTGAAAGCTCCCAGGCTGCCTGATTGCTGGCTTCATATCTTTTAATTTAATATTATTAAAGAGTCAATTGCATCCTGGGGCTGATTAATATTAAAAAAAAAGATTCTCTCAATCAGCCACTGGTTTTCTGTAGCTTTGAGATGATGTCGATCTAAAATTATAAATCCAGTTATTCTGTTCACTCCACAACAATATACTGCTTGGAGCAATGTGGCTTTGATGCCACTAACACAAACGCACAGCATAAATTATTCGCAGAGAGCTCCAAGCGCTGGATTTATTTTCATTGGAAAAAGCAATACTGAAGGTGATATGACCAATGATTTTAAAATCCAAAAGAGCCATAGATATGAGTACATAAACCATGTTCTCTGCACAGAGTGTCAGGAGCCAGGAAGTTGTGACTCACACATAGCACTGGAAATGTACTTGGGGGCTCATCTATAGGTTCATCGCTGCTTGTTACACAGCCTATCTCAGCAGATTAAGTAGCCCTGTAATTAGAATCATAGATATTACTGCACCAATCCTTCCACTCAATGACCTTGTGCCGTTATTAGTTCCACCCCCAGAGTTAACTACTCTATGCCAATTCTCTGCTCCCACTACATACTCTTTCATAGTTTTCATCTTCAAATGTTTCTCCAATTCCGTTTTCAATGATACGACCTTAGCCACCACAACCAGCTTTGGCAAAGCAGTTCATGCTCTAATTAAACTCTGCATGAAAATGTTCCTTCTCACCTCCCCCTTTCAGTAACATTCCTGATCTTATGCCCTGTTACCAATTCACTAAACAGTAGTAATAATTGATCCTCTATTGGATCCTCTCTTAACCTTCAAAAGTGGGTAGGTTATGATTTTATAAGCTCAATGGCATTTTCGTGTGATTTCTTAAATTTTTTTATCAGTTGAATGGGAAGTATCTATAACCTCATTTTTGCTTTGTACATCAATTTCACTGATGGACAGGTGAGAAGAATATCTTAGTGAGGATTCCAAAGTAGTAATGCCAGTTGAATTCCTTTTCTGTTTGAGTTTTGAAAGCTACATGAAACAGAAATATGTGTCTTATGTCTGTATGAGCTGAGAGTCCATGCTTGTGTTGTGATAGGTTGCTGAGTCTCAGTTTGGCGCAGTGCATATCCTTGCTGAATCTTCTTCGATGACAAGCATTAACCTCACTCTCTGGTATTACTTCCCTGTCTAGCTCTGGTGTTCCTTCTTGGACTGATGGGGTCTGTGGTTCCTCTTTGCTTGGGAGTCAGGAAAGCTTCTGGTTTTGGAGGATCCCTCAATGTCATCTTGGTAATGCTGACTATACTCTCTGAGGGGAGAGGTAAGCCGGATAACCTTGGATAACCTTGGAGCTTGGATAACCTTGGAGCTGAGCTGCGTCTAAAGGGACTGGTTCCTGAGCTGGCTGATCAGCAGTACTCCAGGGCAATGTTGATGACAGCCCAGCCAATCTAAAGGGTTAGTGCCTTGCTGACAACTGGTGGGAAGTTTGCCAGACAACAACAACTTGAACTTACATAGCAACCTCCACCCTGGGCAGTGTCTCAGAGCGCTTGAGCGCCATTGCTTACCATAATGGCAAGATAATGCATTTTTAGCAGTACCCCCAAACACACTCTGGGGTCCCTAAACCTTGGTTTTTGCCAACCTGTACCAACTACTAACAAAATTAGGTGAAGCAGGATGTGTCCCTCCAGTGAGAAAGTGCATACTCCATTCCAGACATAGGGAAATTTCCATGTGGAAGCAGCATGCATATGTGAAACTTTGACTGGTTTGGTTACTCTTAAACATGGTAATGGATTTCTACATGTGTCAGATACCCAACTGAATCCCCAAAAATTGTCATGCTGAGTCAGCAATCTCACCACTTTAGGCCTGACCTGCTATGGCTTTCTGTAGCTTTGTTGCTGTGATGTCTGTGATACTTGCAGCAGCGAAAATGCAGGAAGACACAGCAAGTTTCTATGAAGCATTCACTCCTCACACTTCTAATTGCATCTTTTTGTCTCAGTACAATACAAAAGGTACTGTCCAAAACATCTTCAACTGCTGTAATTTTTTTAAAAAAACATGCAGCATAACAATTATTGAAGGTAGATTATGAGGAAGAAACTTAAATAATTTCTTGGCATATTGCTGAATGTAGCCAACTCCTTCAAGTAATGAAAATCCCACTTTACAATTATCCCTGGGAGAGCATATATTAATTGTAAACCTTGTTTATGTATTTTCTTACAGATTTGTGCTTCATGATCACTACGTGCAAGACTTTTTTTGTCTGTATTTGTTGATCTGATTCAGGTTTAATTACTTTTAATGGAATTTGAAATAATTTTTGGTAATAATATTCTTTGCATTTGATATAGCGCCTTATCTCATCTTCGAGATGTCTCGAAGCACTTCACAGAACATACTGTAAAGTGAATTGATGTAACTACATTGGTAGTTACAGTCACCTGGCTCTACCCACGAAGCTGCACTACTTCTGGATTTGCAGCATGCACCTTTCTTTCCTCGGGCACAACAGACATGGTGACTGCTCCATTAATATGGTTTGTTTTGCAAATTAAATGTTCTAAGCTATTAGTCTCTGTTGATTCGATCCGCATTTCTTATGCCAAGCAGACTGTGTTTGATTAGAGATTGCAGCGTATTTGCTTTTAGCTCCGATCGTTAAATGCTATCCTGAGTTACATCAAGATGGCCAGAAGGAGCACTTTAATTATAAAGTGAGAAATATTAGAATTATTATTGAAAAATGCCTCTGGATCTATAATAGTACATTGAAAGATTGTGATAAATTCATTAATTCAGTCTTATCTTTAGGAATCCTGTAGCTCAGTGGTTAAAGCACTCGTCTCGGAGTAAGACACCTCAATTCGATTCCCACCAGGGCGAAACCTTGGGCAAGGTTCCTTACTCCACACGCCTGATAATAATCCCTCAAGAAAAAAATAATAATAATTTGGTCACTCAATCCACGACTGTTTGTGGGACACTGCTGTGGAGTCCTGTAGCTCAGTGGTTAAAGCACTCGCTTTGCAAGCGAGAGACCTGAGTTCAATTCCAGGCACGGCGAAACCTTGGGCAAGTTTCCTTACTCCACACGCCTAATAATAATCCCTCCAAAACCCAAAACAATAATAAATTGGTCATTTTCAATCTACGACTGCTTGTGGGACACTGCTGTGCGCAATTGGCTGCCGCGTTCGCCCACAAATATACAGTCAATTCACTTGACAGTGTGTTCTGTGAAGCGCTTTGGGACATCCTCCCGACGTGAAAAGCACTATATCAATTGCAAGGATTATTATTATTATTAAAATACACACAACCAAGTTTTTCAGGATATCTCATAAAGCTCTTCGAGTTGGCTTCAACGTTATGTCCCCTTCACAACATGCCAACAACATCTGACATTTATATAGCGCCCTTCACACGAATAGTGTCTCGGAGCGCTTAACAGTGACAAAGCTTATCACGCAGCCACGGAGAGAGGGGAGATGACCATAAGCAGAATCAAAGCAGAAGGTCTTTAGATGCAATCTTTTCACATCACATAGCGCTTTTCACATCTTCTAGACATTTCAAAGCGCTTCACAGAATATACTGTAAAGTGAATTGACTGTATATTTATGGGCTAAAACGTAGCAGCCAATTGTACACAGCAGTGTCCCAACAAACAGTGAC